TAAGTTTTTATTAAAAAAATTAAACTTTTTAATAAAAACACAGGCAAATTTGTCTGTGTTACAATTTAAGGGATACTATATATCTCTACCTATTAATATTATAAATATTGTAAAATGCAATTCTTGATTAACTTATTATTTATAAATCTATTTACGCCATAAGTGTGCTTATAAATACAAACCAAAGAAAAACTAGCTACTGTATGTTACTGAAGAGAAAATAATGTGTTTGATGATTCCTTATTCTTCATTCTATTTTTTTATTTTTTAATTTTTATAAGCGACCTCTTGGTCTTGTAGTCTTATTAATTATTATAGTCGTATATGCGATTGTATTACATATTACAATATTTAATTTTGGACTGCTTTATTCTCGAAGGAGGCTTAACACAGGTTGTTTAACCCACAATTATATGAGCAGGGATTTATGCTTACCTTTTATGTATTTCTCATATCTCTCATATTTCTTATTCAAAGTACTTTCATGCAGGTGGCTAGCAAAGGCTAGAGGCATTCGTAATCCTCACGAATTACTTCCTTACCTGTCGTCAGGTCGTCGCCTTACACCGGTCCTCAACTTGTCAACTTCCAGGACTAGAAGGTCTAGTATTTACATGCCCAATGATGATCTTGTATGTTAGTAAGGTACGTACAGGCTATATTTCATAACATTATCCTTCATTCTAAACTAAAATTTCTATTCCTATAGGTATACAGAATTGATTAACCAAACATATATTACTGGCAATATAAATTTGTTTCATGAATCTATAATGCTATAATATTTATTAGAGAGCGGGGAGTGTGGCATTATCAAAAAAAAAAAAGGTAGTGGAAATCCATTAATGTAAATCATTTTATTTTTTTGTAATTTTTTCAAACTTTGAAGATATCTCGACACCCACTTAGTTAAAAAATTCGATGAAATTTTTTTGTTTTAATTTTAGAGATTAGCAAAAGTTGAATAAAAAAAAAAGTTTATCAAATGAATCTGGTTAGATGGGGTGTTAAGATATTTTCGATCAAAGTTTTCAACGTATTTATATATTTGATATACTGTTACAGAGTAAAGCCTTCTTAATTTACTCTATAACGACGACACGGCACAGAGAATCCTTTTGTAGGTATATGCGGTGTTCAAGAGGTAATTATAGCTTCTTTTCTCTTTAAGAAACTATACCCTTCTCTAAGGCAGTTCGTGGGAAAATACAATAACAATAATAACT